ATTTTGAAATTAGGAGCATCTACACAGTACTTATTTTGAAATAGAGCTCTCTTCCTCCAACTCCCCTTACTCCTTATATAATGAAGGTTACAGGAGTCAGAGTAAGACGTCTTCCAGCTTGACAATATTTCGACATTATTTCAAAATAACTGCCTGCTGTTTAGATGCGGACTAAGTTATTTCGAAATAATGCTAGTTATTTTGAGGCGGGCTTCCCTAATGTAGACATGCAATCTCCATTTAGAGCCCTGGGAGGCACTGGGGAGGAATAATTTACAATGGCTCTGTTAAGGGGCTATTTCAAAATAGCAGCAGTGGAGTGTCTACACATGGCTTATTTTGAAATAGTTATTTTGAAATAAGTGTTATTTCTCATAGAATGAGGTTTACAGATTTCAGAATAAGCTATCCATTATTTTGAAATTATTTCAAAATGGCCATGTAGATGTTCACATTGTTATTTCGAAATAACACTAGTTATCTTGAAATAATAGTGCAGTGTAGACGCATCCTAAGTGAATTAGGACCCAACACTCAGATCTGTAACCTCAGGGTATCTTTGACTCCTCTTTTGCTCTGTATGTCAAAGCTGTATCCAGATCTTGCTGCTTTTCCCTCTGTAACATTTCTCAAGCAGTTCTCTGCTTGCTGTTCAGAGAATCAAAACTCTCATCGAAGCCTTCCTCATCTTCCGTCTTAGCTCTCATAACCTTCTCTTCTTACATACAGACAGCCTGTTGTATACTCCTTTGGTCCACACAACACCCAGCTAAGAGGGTTGTGTTCTTTCCTTGTCATTCTGGCCTCCTTCAAGAGCCTAATCCAGATTCATTGGGAATCTTTCCATTGACTTCAATAGGTTTGAACCCCTCCATTGTCTCCCTCTTTTTCAATACAAACTCAAGCTTGACCTTGGTTCCTCATTCAGCTTTAAGGCCCTTCACAACTCTGCCTGCTGTCTTATTTCAACTATTTCACTTTGGCTCCTTCTCTTCACTGGCAAGTCTAACCTTGTCTGCCTGTTTGTTAGCTTCCCACCGGGACTGTCTTCTAGCCCGTCCTGTAGGCATGGAACGCCACCCCTCATCTCTTCTGTATGCCTCTCTTCACCTTCAAATCTCTTCTTGAGATCAATTTTTGAAAGATGCTTATAAGATGTCAGTAGTGGCCACTGATGAGTTTCATGGTACTTGGTATTTTACTTAGAGACAAGTGAATACAGGAGCACATCAGATGCTTTTTTGTCACCATTCCTGTTTTTGGTTGTTGTTGTTTGGTTGGGGTTTAGTTTTTGTTTTTGTTTGTTAAATAACTTTCTAGTCTTCATGGTTACAGAGAAAAATTTGAGAATGTGATCTGACCAGAACTCTAAAGGCTCAAACACCAGAAGCAATGTGTAAGAGTTTGTAGGATTGGGGCCTTAGACTGTAAACTGAACTAAGAATAAATTGAACATTTATATGGATATTATAAGTATGCTCGGCATAATTACCAATATTTTTGGAAGGGATATTAAACTTCAGATCATTGGCCCAACTGCAAATATTAGAAAAACTTTAAAAATGACTAATAGTCTTACAGCACCTTAGAGCCTAACAAAACATGTAGATGGTATCATTAACTTTGGTGAGCAGAACCCACTTCTTCAGATGAATGGAGTTATTAAAGGTTCAGCTTCTAAATAAATAGGGGTTGGGAGGGAGAAGGAAAAAAATGGAAAAAAAGAGGGAAGAAATGGTCAATTAGAATGTCCATGCTACAAGGTGCAAATTGTTCTTAAGTACCCATTGTTTGGTCTTTTACATCAGTAGGGTGTGGAATGTAGTGGGTCATCCGGCCAATGCCTTTATTCATACCTTTGTTGAAGGAATCAAACTTGTAAATTAATTTAAGTTCTAAGGCTTCCCTGGGGAGTTGGCTTGTGGTATTGGCCTGAAACAATAACGGTGACTTTGAAATCCATTAGCGAGTGCCTGGGCAAGTTAAAATGTTCCCTAACATGTTC